CAAGCCTGGGATCCCAGCACTTGGGAGGCTGAGGCAGAAGGATTTCCCTGAGTTCAAGGCCAGCCTGGGCTCTCTAGGGAGACTCTGTTGAAAGAAAGAAGGGAAGCGGGGGAGAGAGCTTTATCACAACACAGCTACTTTCTTTCTTTCTTTCTTTTTTTTTTTTTTTATCGGTACCGGGGATCGAACTCACGACTGCCTGCTTGCAAGGCAGGCGCTTATGCCGCTGAGCTAAATCCCCAGCCCCAACACAGCTACTTTCACTCATTTGCGTATCATTGAGGGCGACCCTCACACTGTAGTCTGCAAAGCCTGAAAGATGTACCGTCTGGTTTGGGGTTTTTTGGTACCGGGGATCGAACTCATGACCTCATGCTTGCCAGGCAGGTGCTTTTGTCACTGAGCTATAACCCCAGTTCCACTGTCTGTTTTTTTACGGAAAACTTGGCCAACCCCTGCCTAGGCTGACTTTCTTCTCTTTTGTGCATGTGTTTTGGGGCTTGAACCCAGGAATTTGCACTGCGCTACATTGCTAACACTTTTTTATTTTATATTTTGAGACTGAGTCTTACTAAGTCACTAAATTGCCCAGGCGAGGCTTAAACTTATAACCCTCGTGCCTCAGCCTCCTAGAGAGCTGGGATCACAGGAGTGCTCCACCGTGGCTGGCAGGCTGTAGCTTCTCACTGCTGCACAACGGTGTCCCTCACGTGCCCCCGGGTCCTTGGGCTCCATCAGCCTAGAGACCAGGGCTCAGCCAAGGGGCCACAGTCCTCCCCTCAGGGAGCTCAGGACACCTGCACCGGGGGCCCGCACCCTCCCCTCAGTTTCTCCCACCTTGCAGTGCCCTCTGCCAGCACCCCGCCTCCCTCATTTGCACGGCTCTGATTTCTGCCCTTCTGATGAGTGTAAAATGCACCCTTAATGTCATTTTGATTTGCATCTCTCTGGTGTCGGCTAGGTTTGAATCTTTCTAGGATCCAGGCTCCTACCTGTTAATTTGCTTCTTGAAATCAATCTAGTGGTGTTTTTTTTTTTTTTTTTCCTAAACAAGGCGAAAGAAGCCCTGTTGCTGACACAGTTGATACCCTCCCACAGCCAGCTCCGGGCCTGTGTTCTAGAAGTGGGGGTCAGGCAGATCTTGGCATGGGGAGCCTCGCCCAGACCTCCTGAGGTGAAGTTTAGGCGCCTCGCCCCCCACAGGCCTCCCGGTCCATCACTCCGACTTGGAGCTGGGCTTTCTCCTCCAATAACAGCCCCTGGCTGGAGGATTCTGGGAGAACTACAGGGGCCAGCACCAAGATTCTCATCAGAATTAGCTACTCTGTTTTGTTTGTCTATTTGTTTAAAGACAGAGTCTTGCCATGTAACTCAATCTCGCCTCAGACCCAGGCTGGTCTCAAATTCACAGCGACGCTCCTGCCTCTGCCTCCCAGGTACAGTACTAGAATCACAGGCAGGGTCAGTGTGTATAGGAAGGACCAGGCCTGACTCCACACCCTTCCCCAGGCAGCATCCACCGGGTGCTCTAGGGAGACAACCGTGAGAGCCAAGGGGACCCCCAGGTGTGAGAGGGCGGCAGGAGGACTCCCTGGTCCCCTGCCTGCTACAGCGCCCCTGAGACAGCAGGAGTGAGGCCTCCAGGCTACACCCCACACCTGAATGGACTCGGCTTCCCCTCAGTTTTCAATAGCAGCAAGAGGGCAGTGACCTCCAGGTCCTGGGCAAAGTTACTGTGCAGCTGCATGTGTCACCAGCGTGGGGGTCCTGGGCTTGCCTTCATGGAGCAAAATTTCCCTCTGGAAAAGCTGAGTTCTGAGACCTGGTGTCACAGGAGACTCTGGGACATACTACAGCTCTCTGACAGCATCCTCTTGTATCCCTTTTCCCTTTTCATGAGCCTTCTTCCCCAAGAGTAGAGAGCAATAAGACCAGCTAATTGTAGCTGGGCATGGTGGCACATGCAGTAATCCCAGCACTTGGGAGGCCGAGGCAGGAGGATCTCAGTGAGTTTGAAGCCAGCCTGGGTTTACAGCGAATTCAAGGCCACCTGAACAACACAATGAGACTCTGTTTCAAATTGGGGGGTCACTTGGTGTGGTGGTGAAGGACCATAATCTCAGCCCTTGAGAAGCTGAGACAGGAGGATCGCTGTGAGTTTGAGGCCAGCCTGGCCTACGTAAGTAAGTTCAAGGCTGGTCTGTACCACACAGTGAGACTCTGTCTTAAAAAATCCAAAAACCAAATCAAATCAAACCAAACCAAAACAGCTCCTCCCAAAAAAGGGGGAATATTGAAGATGTAGTTCAGTGTGAAGGTCCTGGGTTCAATCTCCAGTACTGCAAAACAAAATTATGAGGAATGTAGAAGATATCTGAGATCTCTGTAGCAACAGTCACGGGACACGGAACGACCCGTGGTTTCTACTGGGGACAATCACAGTAGCCCTGTGGCATACTGATTATATTCAGAACGGAACCAAATGCTGAATTTCAGTTAGAAAATTAGTGAAAATAAAGATATGATTTTTTTTTTCCCCATCTAAGATCCGGAAGCCCCTGAATTCTCCTGTGCCCTGGAGGGTGGACCTCAGGAAAAACTCTGAGACTCTCGGTCAAGCGCTCAGAGCCCTGCGTGACTTGGGGCATTGTCAACAAATGCAGCTCTCAGCAGCAGAAACACCGGCCAGGTTTGCTGTCTGCTCCGGGGGTGCACCTCCCTCGCTGGCCTGGGGGAAACTGAGCTCACGGAGCAGGCAAGAAGCCTTGTTTCTGTGTCACCTTCATTTCCTGCTTCTCAGGCCAAGACGCATTTAGCTGCCTGCTGTGTGTAGCAACAGGAGCCGGACCCAGCAGGCAAAGGCTCGGGTCGGTCCCTGTGGTGGCGCAGATAGTGCCGAGTCCCTCAGAGGTGGAGGAATTCCAAATGCCTGGCAAGCTTGGCGACTAGAATGAATCTTTTTTTGAAAATTCATTGATGAATCCTTGACCTCAAAGTATCGAAGGAGGCCAGTGAGTGGGTCAGTGGTTTCTGCTTTTGAAAAACCAGCTCCGTGGGAAGCAGAGTATTTGGTTTAGCAAGGATTTCACCATTTGTCATTTGCAGAGAGGGAGGGCGTTAATAAATAAAGCTGTGGTGAAAGCCGTGTGGGGCTGTGACTTGGCCAACGCTCAAAGCTGTTGAGTAAAAGCAGTCTGGGAAGGAGCAGCGTTCCCAAATGGAGAAGTGAAATTTGAACTTGACTGAAACCACCTGGAAAAAAGTGCTTTCCTAACAATAAAGACAGGAGGCCCTACTGTGTGTGTGTGTGTGTAATGGGGTTTAAATTGCCAAAATAGAAGCTGAGTGTGATAGCACACACTTTAATCCGGCACTGTAGGAGGCTGAGGCAGGAGAATGGCAAATGAGAGCCCAGCGAGACCCTGCTTCAAAATTAAAAAAATTAGAAACGAGCTGGTATGTAGCTCAGTGCCTGGGAAAAAAGTTGCCAAACTAGGGGAGAAAATCTGCTTTTTTTTTTTTTTTTTTTTATCGTTACCAGGGATCAAACTCATGACCACGCGCTTGCTAAATCCCCAGCCCTGAAAAATCTGCTTTTTGATCTGTCTCCTCCTCTGTTTTTGAGGCTTTACAAGTGGTCTCGGGGGTCCTGCAGGCTCGCTGGACTGAGGACCTTTGTCCTGGCCTTGCGTCCCTGTGTGAGACCCCCGAAGTGGGTTTAACCAGCTGTGTGTTCTGCTTGTGTTTGTTGCAGGTTGGTGTGACAAAGACCTCCTGTGAGTGTGTGAATGACACGGAGAAACAGCTTCCCACACCACACGGGGACCCAAGTTGCAGCTGCGGGAGAAAAGAAAAAGTTTTTTCTCTCTCAAGGGCTGTTCGGAGCCAGCTGCTCCCAACTTCCCGTTCATTTGCGGGGTGTTTTGCTTTAACAAGATCCCGAGGTGGCAGTGGCAGTGGCGGAGTGGCTTTGGCACCAGGTATTGTCTCTGTGCTGAACCTGGAAGCCCAAGATCAAAGTCCCCAGGCTGGTGGCCCCCAAGACCCCTCTCCTGGCTTTCCAAGGGCGTCTTCTCCCGGGGTCCCCACGAGACCATGCTCCCTGGGTACCCCTGTCTTCTCACGAGGACACCAGGGTTGGCGCCCCCCAGCAGCCGGTTTCTAATTTAGTTACTCCCCACCGCCCTTCAATCCAAATCCAGCTGTGCCCTGGCGTGCTGAGGCCGGGACCTCCACATAGGAATTTGGGGGCCACAACTCGGCTCATAACAGGGGTCACAGAAGGCGAAGGGTTTGTGTGAGCTGGTAGAGGAGGACCCGGGCCGGCCTCTTCCTGACCTCTATCTGGTTGGTTTCTTCTTACCTGTATCGTGCAGCTTTGCTTTGAGTGTCAACTAGCTTTTTTATTTTTTATTTTTGGCACTAAGGATTGAATCTGGGTCTTTTACACTGAGCTTCATCCTTGGCCCTTTTTTATTATTTTATTTTATTTTTAAATTTTGAGACAGGTCTTTCTAAGAAGTCATGCAGTTGCCTATGCTGGGGTTTGACTTTGTGATCCTCCTGCCTCAGCTTCCCAGAATGTTAGGATCGCAGGGGCGTGTCACTAAGTCCAGCCAGCAAAATTCGACTTCTGCTGGAGGCATCTGGAAAGCCTGGTCAGCAGCCGACTGTCCCTCCCAGTTAAGCCCGGCATCTCTGTGTCTTTCCTGGTCCCCAAAGAGGCAGCCTTCTCCTGCCCAGGCTGAGGCCCCTCCCAGACTCCCTTTGACCCCAAGGTGGGGCGGCTCATTGCACCCCATGGTGCATCCCCTTTGATCAGCCTTCTGGTCCTGAGCTCCTAAGGGTAAAGCAATTAACCTCATGGAAGGGCGGGGAGGAGTTGAGCTCCCTGGGCTTTCTGCCACCTGAGTGAGACTCCTGCAGTTGGAGGGGCAGGGGACAAACCAACCGTTCATTGATGCGTTTGGCACCGCAGGAGAGAGCCAGCAAGCCTGAGGATGCAGGCGTCCCCCGCAGTCATCTGGTGAGTGGCTCTTAGCCAGGTCACTCTGGGCCTTGGGAACCTGGGCAAGAGCTGACCATCGCTTCCCACGTGCTCAGAGCAGAAACCAGGTATTTCCCATCAGCACCCAGGAACCTCTGTCTTGGAGGGAAGAGGAGCTGATGGGTGAGCCTGGTCAGGCCTGTAGGGCTTTGCCAAGCACTGACCTCCTTGGGGAGGACTAGCCAGGGTCACTGCCACCTTCTCCAGGGCCATTGTTCTAGAATAGGTGTTGTGACGCTTGTGTGACATCTTGTGAAGCTTCCCAGAAGGCTGGGAGAAAACAGAAGAGTCTTTGTCTGTCCCAACAGAGTCCTTCAAGGAGGTTAGGGTTCAAGTAAACAGGAGGTGATGATTTGAAGGAGTTTTCAGGTGACAAGAGTCCAGTGAATGGGAAAGATAAGGAGGAAACTTCACTGTCCTCAGCCTTGGAACAGCAGGCTCCCTTCCCCAGCTCAGGTCCAACAGGAGGAATACACTGAGTAATCCCAGCACCGTGGGAGGCTGAGGCAGGAGGATCCTAAATTGGAGCCCAGCCTAGGCAACTTGTGAGATCCTGAAAGGGCTGGGGCTGTAGCTCAGTGTGAAGGCCCTGGGTTCAAACCCCAATAAGAGAGAAGGAAAGAAAGCCTTTGACAAGCTCCTGGGGGCGGAAGCCAGCTTGAAGGTCAGCTGTTGCCCTGGGGACATTCACTGAGGACCTCTGTCTCTGTTTTATGAACTCTGCACATCTGTGCACAAGGAACCCACGGAGGAGCTGAGTGGGTCAGGGGACAGAGAAGGAGGAGGCCCGGTCCTGTGCCAAGGACTTGCTTAACTTCTCCCAGGTGCCGTCCTTGGGGACACAGTGTCTACCCCAGGGCTGGGAAGGATGGGTTGCTCCTAATAGAGGCTGGAGGAGGATTCAGGAGCAGATGCGGGAGGAGGGGGAGCCTCCTGGTGCCTAGCGAGGCTGAGGCAGAGCACTTTCTTTATAGAGCTGCCCAGGGATGGTGCTGAGTGTCCCGCTGTCTGTCCCTGCCGTGGTCCCAGGTTTATTCGCCCTTGGAGAGCCTTCCTGCAAACCAGTTGCCCCAGCCACAGCTGTGTATTGCAAATTGACTAATTATTGGCAGGGACTGAGGTGCAGCCTCCAGCAGCAGAGCCAGGAGGAGCAGGGATTGGAGACCAGGCTGTGTCCTGGGAGAAGGTCCCCAGCCTGCCGTCCAGAGGCAGTGGACACAGCACAGGTGCCACGCGGCCCCCGGCTCCTCTCGGCACTAAGGCTGTGGGCTCGGCTCAGATTCCAGGCGGATGAAATGGCTCTGTCCCTCTTAGCCAAACCCATTATGGGGCAGCCGTGGGCCTTGGCAAGTGACCTTCCCCAGGCTCAGCCTTAGGGCGAGCCAGGAGCTGAGGGCTCGGTGACCGCAGCCTTTGGTGGGAATGTCGTGCTCTCCCACTTTGTGAAATATAACTTTAAAAAAGGTTGCATTCTCGGGCTGAAGATGCAGGTTAGCACGAGAGTTATCCCACGTAAGGCCCTGATTCAGCCCCCGAAGTGCCACAAAAACCCCACACTAAACCAACAAACCCTGAAGGTGCGTCAGAGAGTTCATTTGTTTAATGTCTTTCTGGGTAGAATTGTTGGCATTATTATCAGGACAGTGTTCTACAGTTACAAAATAGCTGCTCAGCGATACATTGAATCAGATAAACCTAAGAGCCCACTAGACCATATCCAGGTTTTCACTGAAGAAACCTAGTCATTTGGGGCCACTTTAAAGGGTTTCACATCTTCCTCCATCGACTCATGTGCAAGAGACATCATTTTTTGTTTGTCATCTGAGACAGTCTCTCTGTGCAGCCCAGGCTGGCCTGGAACTCACTGTGCAGGCTGGCCTTGAATCCCTGACAACCTCCCGCCTCAGCCTCCCAAGTGCTGGGGTGATGAGCATCTGCCACCACACCTGGCTTTAAGGCTCATCCTCGTTCCAAAGCACCCCGCCCCCCGTGAGTACTGCAGATGCGTCTTCCCGATCAGTGCTTGTTATTGTCTTCCTCCCCTAAATTTAGACCCACTTCCCAGATTCCCAAATGCTCCCGGCCAGCTTCTCCCGCCCCCTGTACCGGGGATCGAACTCATGACCGCCTGCTTGCAAGGCAGGCACTTATCACATCACATCTTAATTCCTCTCCTTCCTCCCCTCCCTCCCTCCATCTCTCAGTCCCCTTCCCATTTGCAAAAGACCTACTTCCCTGCTTCTTATTTATCTTTTATTTCGTTCCTTAATTTATTTATACTTTGGGTTTCTCATGGAAGGGAAGTCACGCAATACTTCAACTTCTGGGGCTGGGGATTTAGCTCAGTGGCATAAGCGCCTGCCTTGCAAGCAGGCAGTCGTGAGTTCGAACCCCGGTACCGATAAAAAGGAAAAAGACAAAAAAAAAAACAAAAAACAAAAAAAAAACTTCAACTTCTGTGTCTGCTTTGTGTCATGTAACAGTTTGGTCTCCAGGAGATTATTATTATCTTAATTTTTGAGATGAGATCTCCCTAAGTCACTCGGTCACTCAGGCTGTGCTCAAACCGCCATCCCGCTGCCTCGGCCGCCCAGAGTGCTGGGGTTACAGGTGTGCACGGCCACACACACCCGGCTCCTTTGTCTGTTGCTTTGGTCCTGTGGCTGGAACCCCAGCTCCCCCGTGTGCTGAGCAGACGCTGCACTGAGCCACACCGCCTGCCACTTGGTTCTATCCTCTTGCAGAGCTGGAGCTAGGCCTGTGGTGTCACCTGCGTCAGTGCTGTGCTGCACGCTGTGCTGCAGCTCTGTGTCGTTTGTTTGTTTGTTTGTTTGTTTTTTGTCCTTTTGAGACAGTCTCCCTGTGCAGTTCAGGCTGGCTTTGAGCACACTTTGTAGCCCAGGTTGGTCTTGAACTTTTTTTTTTTAATCGGTACTGGGGACCAAACACCTGACCACGCGCTTGCAAGGCAGGCACTTATACCACTGAGCTAAATTTGGTCTTGAACTTGATCCTCCTGCCTCAGCCTCCCATATGCTGGGATTGCGGGTGTGCGCCGCCACACCAGGCTTCTGTAGTTATTTCTAAGTAGCTGCAAACCCTAGTGACAGAAGGACCCTACTTAAATATGAGATCCCGCCCCTTCGGGGCTTAGATTTCTCATCATTTTTGTGGTAAAACCCCAGCTGCACCAGGGCTCCATGCCCCTCCTGATTCTGGCACATGCCCGTCTCCACTCTCTTACCCCATGTCCACTACTTGTCCTTTTCCACCGACTGTGGCTCCACTGATCTTTGTTGTGGCTGCTGCTGCTCCTTAAATTCATGGAACTATCCCCGCACTTGGGGGTCCCACTGTGTGGCATGCGCCTCCCCAGATCTGGGAAGGAAACTCCTCGACGTCCTACTGTGGCCCCATATCACCTCTCAGCGATGGTTCACCGCCCCTAAGAAGGCTGAAGTAAGTCAGGCCCTCGCTCCCTGTGATGGCAACCAGCTGCTGTCTTGCGGTCCAGCTCTCGTCTCTGCCCTGGGGCCAGTCTGCAGTGCTGGGGCAAGGGAGAAGGCACCTGCTGGGGACAGGAAGACAAACCGCGTGGGGCGGGCACGCGGGCCGCTCCACTGGGAGGAAGCCGGTTCCAAGTCTATTTGCAAATTCATTCCAACATTGCCGCTGCGGAAAAGTATCTGCTCTTTCTCCTCTGAACTGCTCGTGCCATCTGCCTGCTCCTCATTAATAATGAGTTAATAAAACCTTTAACAGAGGCTCATTTTTTTAAAAAGAAAAAAATCTGTATGAGAAACACGATGTTAGCTTTTTTTGAAAATTGTCTTTTAGCATCAGTCTCGCCCTCCTCTCCGGCTCAGACTCTGCACCTCACTGGGTTTCCTTTTCCCAGCGCCTCTCATCTCCAGATACGCTGCTCTGCCCTCCTTTTCCTTCCCTCCCTCCCTCCCTCCCTTCCTCCCTCCTTCCTTCCTTCCTTTCTTTCTTTCATCTTTCTTGATAATGTCTCGCTGTGCAGCACAGGCTGGCCTTGAACCCCCGATGATCCTCCTGCCTCAGCCTCCCGAGCGCTGGGCTGACAGCTGTGCACCACCAACCCGGGCACACATTTATTTCCTTACCGGTTTGTGGTTGCTGTTTCTGTGCCTCGGGCACTACACATTATGGAAAGTGCTAAAAAATGTCTAAATTGGGGCAGGAGATATGGCTCAGAGGTGCAGCACCTGCCTAGCATGCGTACTGTTCAGTCTGGGGGGAAATACAGATATTTGATGGAATGAATTACAACCGATTGACTGTATGAAGGTAGACCGGGCAGCCGCTGAGCTATGCACGCCCCGCCCCTCTCCCCTGCAGGGCCATCTGTGTCGCCTGCATTCAGCACCTGGTGTGCCCACACATCCTCCTCCTCAGGGCAGGTGGGGACAGACCACGCCCTGCGCCTGGAGTTTCGACAGGTAACTCACGCTTTGGCACTGGTGTCAGGCCTTGGGCGTTCCCGGCCGTGTGGACCTGTAACCAACCTGCTGGGTGACACGGTGACCTCGGCAGTGAGGAGTGTTACCAAGCCGGAACACTAGCCTGCTGTCGGCTGTCCTCCTCCCAGCGAGGAGATGGGTTTCTGGGGCTCAGAGGCTGTGCGCACGTGGGTGGCCGCGGCAGAATAGGGTTGGGCTGGGTGTGGTGGTGCAGGGCTATGCGTCCAGCACTCTGGAGGCTGAGGCAGGAGGGTGGCAAACCTGAGCTCAGCTTGACAATTTAGCGATTCAGGGAGACCCTGACTCAGAATAAATAAAATAAGAGGCGGAGGTGAAGCTCAAACCCGAGCCACACAAGAACAGGGCAGACCCGGCGTGCCATGTGTCCGGCCAGGTCAGGTCCAGGGGATTTGTGGCCGGGGTCCTGCGGGGTGAGTGAGGAGCCTGCAGCCCTGCAGCAGCAGAGTAGGCTTCTGCCGAGGCAGTTGAGGCCCGGTGTCTTCAGAGCCACCCTGCAGCGACACTGAGGAGTGACAGGTGCCTGCCCGCCATGAAGCTTCCCTCCACAGCTCACATCCCCGCCAGGAGAGGTGCCAGGCGGCGTATGCGCCCGTGTGCAGCCTCCCGGCATGGAACAGCCAGATCTTGGAAACAACCCAGATGCCCATAACTGAGGAGTGGATTACACAGACGTGGTATTTTTATACAACGGAGTGGTACTCAGCTATCTGGAAGGGTAAACTCGAGGCTTTTGTAGGTTCGTGGATGTAACTTGAGAGTGTACTCAGAAGTGAAATAAATCAGGCGCACATGGCAAAGCATCCTACCGTCTCCCTAGCGTGCGATGCTAAAAGAAATAATATGTACATAAAATACAGGTATTATATGCATCTTCTCAGTCTCCTGGGGAACGGGGATCACAGGTGTGCGCCTGGCTACCCTCAGGTTTATTAATTCACCTGAGACTCACGGGCCTCTGAAAAGGGTTACGCTCAGGCTTATGGTTCATCCAGTGGAAGGCTACAGATTAAAATCACTACAGGAAATGCGTGCCCGGGGGCAGCTGCTAGGGGGCCGGCCTGAGCCCCTCCAGAGGACAGGGCAGACTTCGCCCAGCTTGACGTGTGAGGTTCACATAGACTGGCGCTCGTTAAGCCTCGGTGTCTGGGTTAGGAGTGGCTGAGCACCGCAGGGCTGAGCCGAGCCCCAAGGTGCAGGGGCCTCCTGCCTGCATCATGATGCTGCCGCCCGGGGTAAACAAAGTCACTCTTACTGGCAGAACATCCCAGGGGTTACCATGGTCTTCGTGGCTGGCAGGGCCAAAGGGTTCCATCTTGCAGAAGAGGGAGTAGTGGGGGCCTTGGAGAGGGGAGAGGACTCACCCTGGTCACATGGCTGCACCCCACATCTGAGCCCTGAGTATCCACCTCCCTGAGCAGCCCCCCCACATTGGGAATGGTGTTTCAGGAAATTGGAACAGCATATGCAGAGGCCGTGAGGTGGGAAAGAACGCTTTAGCTGAAGTGTGGAGGTGGCAGAGGACAGAGCCACGGGGTGGGGGGCTGCACGGACGGTGGGGAACCACTGAAGGTTCTGAGGAGGGGCTGCCACACTGTTGTTGCCATCTGAAGCTCCCTGTGTGTTGAGAATGGACTGGGGCCTGGCAGGGCCGGGGGTGGAGCCTCCACCTTGGCCTGGAGTCTTCAGCTCAGCTGCAGAGCTTCGAGGATGAGCTGTCCACCTCACCCCGCTTTTAAGGGTCAAGTCCAGACCTTTCCTTTGTTTGCTTGTCTTTTAGAGGCAGGGTTTCACTACACAGTTCAGGCTGGCCTTGAACTCACTTTGTAGCCCAGGCTGGCTTCGAACTCACAGCAACCCTCCTGCACAGCAGCCTCCAAGCGCTGTGCCAGCATGCCCAGCTATTCACATCTTTTAAATTGCACTGGGTAACTGAGGGGGTGGTACATGCCTGTAATCATGCAGCACTTGGGAGGCTGAGGCAGGAGGATTGCTGTGAATTTGAGGCCTGCTTGGGCTACACAATGAGTTCACGGCCAGCCTGAACTATAAAACAAGACTTTGTCTCAACCCGCACGCCCCCACTCCAGAACGATATTGGGTGTGGAATGTGCAGATTGGCAGCAGACCGTGGTATCAGGGTTAGTACCAACTCGGGTCATAGGCACTGCGTCATCACTCAGTTTCCCTGTTTCTAATCTATCTGGTTATGTGATGAGCTGGCAGGCGAGGCAGCGTTTAGGGCCTCGGTCCTGCTGCTCTGTGACCAGGACAAGTCTTCTCTCTCTCTGTGTGAAGTTAGCTAGCATCATGACAAGAGCTGTCATCCTGAGGCACAAGCTCTGTGCTGAGCACCTGTGAAGGCTTTTAGACACAGGAGCTCATTCAGGCTTCGTATCATGCTGTAAAGTGTCACTATCACAGGCACGACCATCATCAGTGTCAGATCACCGCCATCGCCATCGCCACCACCACCATCCTCATAATGTAAGAAAAGTGTGCGCACACTCACACACACACACACACACACACACACACACACACACACACACAACACAGGGGACTCAGCCCAGGTGCTCCCTCAGTGTCCACCCTTACGGTTCCATCCCCCGGTCCCAGCGTCCCCTGTAAACACAGTGCTGAGAGTGCCTTCCTGTCCGACAGCCAAGGTGGAGTGCTTCTCAGACTACATGACCCTGCCGATCCCCAGGAGCCACGTGGAAGGTTTGAGGCGGTGGCTGGGCAGAACCTTGCAGCTGCCAGGTAAGGGACAGCCATTGTCCGGGAAGAGCCGCCCGTGCCTGCCCCAGGCCCTTGGCGTTGCCTCTGCATGCCCGGATGCTCCTCCCACACCTCCTCTGCGGGGCTCTTCCTGCCTCAGATCCGCTCAGGCCCCCTCCCCGGGGCTTTCCAGCTCTCCACATGGGCAGCCTCGTGGGTCACACACTGTCACCTGGGCCCCTGCCACCAGAAGGAGCTGGCAGCCCACGCATTCCTCGTCTCCAGCTGGTGTAGCGGGGACACCGCTGATGTTTAGGACACGTGTGATACACAGGCCTGCAGGAACAGACGGCTAAGGCCTGGAGAGAAGCTCCCATCTGGGGCGATATGCTCTAAAACCTCAACCTCCCAGGGAAAGAAATGGATGGGAAGAAAGGGGAGAATGGCACCCCTAAAATAGCCAAGGGCCCAGTGTTACTTTCTGAAACCCTCAGTCAAGAGTTTGCCTACAGGAAAAGAGGGCAGACCTCATGAGGAGATTACCCAGAACCTTCTGGAAACTTCTGGAACCACTGGCCCACTTCCTGTTTTCCATCTGGGAGGCTGAAAAGTGAATTCTCAGAATTTTTCTTCTCCTTTGTGCAGCAGGAGAGAAATTGAGGAGAGAGACTTTCCTGTTTCTCCCAAAGTCTAGCAAAACCACCCAGGGACTGTGTTCATTCTGGAGTTTTGATGTTTTAAGATGGGTTCTTGCTATGTAGTTTGGGCTGGACTTGAACTCACTACATAGCCCAGGGTGGCCTTGAACCCGAGGTAACCCTCCTGCCTCAGCCTCTTGAGGGCTGGGATTACAGGTGAGGGCCACTATGCCCAGCACGGTCTGGAAATTCTTATGGCACCGTTTGGGTCTGGTGTGGCCTGAATCTATCTTGGGAGGGTCAGTGGCCGCTCAACCGGCCAGCCAGTCTCGACACCTTGGAGTGGCATTTGTGTACTAAAAGGCCCCTTTTCCAGGAGAAATGGTGAGGAGACATTAAACTGTCCCTGTTCTTTGGAGAGCCATTATTAATGGAAAACAATAGATTAATAGTTTTAAAACGCGTGTTCAATAAGTAATTTTTATGGCTTTGGATAGAGCCCATTAAGCATTTCTGTGTTATTATCAAGAAGTTTTAAGCGTAAAATCATAAAGTCAATAATCAGAGAATTAGTCACAGCAGCCAGCCACGGGCCATTAGTTTTAGGCGCTGTCAGGGACACCTGTGGCTCTGGAGCTGGTGGCACCAGGTGGGGATGGAGGAGTGACGGTCGGTGCTGCCGCCTTCCACAGACTGGAAGGGACAGCGAGCAGGTGTGAGCAGCGGGAAGCCAGGCAAATATTTACAAAGTGCAAACGTGAGCGCAAAACTAAACTGATCCGGGTCAATTTGCACATCCAGCCTCAGCTGTATTTCCCCAGCGAGCTCCTTTCCGGGCGCCTCTGCCCCAGGCACGGCCTTGATCTCCTGCTAAAGATAGCTGCACGGCAGCGCCTGGAAAGGGGAAGCTGTCACCAGAGAGTCCTCCACGGCCGCCCCGGCCGCTGTCTGCGGCAGCAAATTCATCTCCCCTCGCCACTCGGTGCAGGGTTTGGAAATGAAACTGTGGCTTTGAAAGAAAGGGCTTTGTACAAAACCATGACAAAAGCACTACAAGATAATTACGGGAACCAGAGGAAATCCAAAGAAGATGATAAAACTGCCCGCAATCGCTCTCTCAGTGAGATCCCTTTTTATATTTCATTCATCCAACAAATATGCCAGACATGGCTTAGTCGTAGGATGCAGAGGGAACAAAACAGACAAATACTCCTGGCGCCCAGAGCGGACGCTGGGGAAGAAGGAAAAAAAAAAGATCGTTATAATCTGAAGTCATTTAGATGGGAGACTGGGCAGGTAATAAGTGACGGGGACAAGAAGGTGGCCGGGGTGGGCTTCCTGGAGGTGACTTCTTCTTTTTTTGAGACATTATGTAGTTCAACTTGGACTTGAATTCACGGTGATTGTCCTGCCTCAGCCTCCTGAGTGCTAAGATTACAGATGTGGGTCAGCATGCCAACTTCAGGCAGGCGACTTTTGTAAAGGTTGAGTGAACCGTGCAGATATCCAGGCGAGCCTGGCATGGTGGCACACACCTGTAATCCCAGCCACTCTGGAGCTGAGGTAGGAGTCAGCCCGGGCAATGTAGCCAGATTGTGGTTTATTTTACTTTATTATTATTTTTTTTTGCACTGGGAATTGAACTCAGGACCTTGTGCTTGGCAGGCAGGCACTTGGGTGCTGAGTTCTATCCCAGGCCCATACTGTGTTGCAAAATAAACTAAAAATAGAGGGTTGGGATGTAGCTCTGTGGTAGAGGGCTTGCCTGATACGTGCAGAGTCTTGTGTTTGATCCCTAATTTGTTTGATTCCTTCCTTGAAGGAAGGAAAAGTGAATGAAAGAAATTCAGGTAGTGGGCATAGGCAGTGCAAAGGCCCTGAGGCAGCAATGGGCCTGGGATGTTTGGGACACAGCAGACAGGAACAAAGGAAGGAAGTTCAGAGAAGTGGGAGAGAAGATCAGAAAGGTGGGGAACCGGTGGGGACCCCGGAGGTTGAATGTAGCCTCCCCTGCTCCACCTCGGGCCTGTCTTTTTCTTACCTCAGGCACCTGGAGGGTCCCCAGTCACCTGAATCCTCTTCTTGCCCAATGTGGCTACTTCTTGCATCCCACGCCGGCCGGTGACTTCATTTTCCGAGCTCGATACTCGGCCTGCTTCATGCGGAAAGAGGTGCGTCTGGGACACTTAACTGGGCTGGACCCCAGAGCCTCCCGCAGCCCCACAAGTGGTGCCCTGGCCTTCGGGGGACTCAGCGGTGGCTCTAGAGAAGCATCTTCCGTGCCAGGGCACACCGTCTCCTGCCAGGGAGCCTGCACCCAGCAGGCGCTCAGCTGGCCATCAGGAAGGGCCAGACGGTGCGGAGGGGTTGCAGCACCCCCCACCTGCACGGGTCCCTCGTCTCCTCGCAGGACCCCAGGATTCGGTCACCTTTGCAGGAGCAACATGGTTCCACATTCGGAACCATGTTGCTCCACCTTACAAAGGCCCCGCACCCCTGTTCTGTCTCTCCTCTGTTTCCACTGTGGGTCACCACTTTGTCTTCTGCTAGGCCGAGCCCTGTTTTCCCCGAAGGGCTGAGGCCCCTCCTGGGGGGCCTGACAGCCCCCCTTTCTCCTCCTCCTCTTGTCCTCGTCCCCCTCCGGCCCCCCACCCCAGTCCATACCCATGTCAGTGCCCACAGAGTTCACGCCTGGCTTTCCCGGGGCCGGAGGAGGCCAGCGTGGGCACCTGGGAGGACTCCTCGGCTTGATGTCTGCAAAGCACGCAGAGCTCAGGGAGGAGCACACAGGCGCTGTGTCCGGACTCGGAGTGACCGCCTGCCTTGTTTCAGTCACTGACTTCCGCTGAGCCTCCACAGCCCCATCTGTCAAATGGGAGTCAGAGGCCCTCTCCTGGGTCCTTCATGAGGGCCGAAGGACAGGGGGGCTGAGCCAGTGTTTGCTAATGTTAAGGGACTTGGAAGTTCAGGGTGACCTTCCTGAGTCCTCCACTGTCCTCCCTGGACAGGGAGGGCTTCCCTGATGGGGGCCGAGTTGCCGGATCCCAGAGGCCGGACCAGGCTCCTCATCCTGCCCGGCCAGGTCTCTCTTCTCATCCCTGTTCCATGAGCCCCAGCCCGTCCAGGCCCATCACACTGCCGCCACCGTCCCTGACCTATAGTCGCAGCCCCATTAGCTGCTTCCTTCTTTCATTGGCCTGGATGACTTGTGCTTTATTTGCAGAAAGAAAATTACAGGTTGGAAATCAGAATACTTCGCAGAGGGGTGAAGGGGCTGCAGCGGAGCGAAGGCCACATAATGAAGTGTCCAGCGACCGTGCCCAGGCTGGGCCGACAGCGCGTGCAGTGTGGCCCCACATCCATCCGGGTAACGGGCTCAGAGGGTGTCCGGGCTGGGCTCCTCCCCAAAGGCCCAGGGTGTGGCTGTGGCTCCTGAGCCTCGGGATGTGGCAGCGCAGAGGTGGCAGCTGGAGGTGCAGATGTCCACGGGCGCTGGCTGCATGCCAAAGTCCACCAGGCTTCTGTGGAGCAAAGAGGACTGAGACATGATGGCAGGCTGTCCGGGGAGGAGGCGGTGGTGGTGCCGCCATCCGGCTGCAGAAGGAGCCAAGAGGAGATGAGGTCTGCCTGGGTCTGCGGCGGTCAGGCGGCCGAGCTGGGCTGTGAACCCACCAGCATGGCGGGGCCTGCGGCGAGGCCGGGGCAGCCTCAGCCTCGAACCGTGGTCCCACAAGGAGCAGTGCCGCTCGGCTTCTGCCCCGTGCCTGCGTCGCCAGCTTTTTAAGAGACACAGGAATTTAGATGTGGGGTTGGATATGGCTGTAACCCCAGCACTCGGGAGGCTGAGGCAGGGGAATCATTGCAAATTTGAGACCAGGCTTGGCTACAAAATGAGCTCAAGGCCAGCCCGAACTGCGTAGCAAGACCCTGTCCCAAAAAAGGTAAAAAGACAGGAAAAAAGTAAAGGAATAGAAGCATCAGGCCTAGCCTGGGCAATTTAGGGACTCGGGGGTATCCTATCTTATAATAAAAATAAATAAATGAACAACAGTAAATAAATAAGGCCCAGGGATGTCTCTCAGCCTTGGAGGAAAAAAATAAAAAAGAAACAGGAGATCTGTAGTTACACATGAAATTTCCTCATTTTAAAAGGTTGACTCAGGGTAAACCACTTGCCTAGCATGTGCAGGACTCTGGGTTGGACCGCAAGCACTTAAAAAAAGGAGCAAACAAAATTCAGAACGTGGTGTTTTAGTCTGACGGTACAAGAAAGGAAGGAAGAAGGAAGAGGAGAGGAAAGGAGAAATGAGCGGCGGTTGCCGTGAAAAGGCTGCTGGTGACAACCACCAGTCATTCAACAAACACTTATGGACCCACTATGTGCTGCAATCAGGGTGCTGCTACAGGGACAGACTTGACAAGAATAGAGACCCTTGCCTCCAGAAAGGCGTGTAGATTTATTTTCTCAGTCCGGTCTAGATATTCAAAGGTGATGTGTCCCCTGGAATGACCACATCGAGACCGGTGCTGTCTCCCCTTGAGCCCAGGTTGCTCTCGAACTGCAGGAGCAGGGGCTGAGGCCGAGGCGCCATCTCTGCCCACCTGCGTGTATAGAGGCCGCTGATCCTCGAGCGTTACCTCTGAGGGGCCATCTGTGTGCCCCTCCCGGGCTGGCCAGCCGCCGGCCCTCCGCAGCGGGCCTGTAATTCTGAGAGCTGTCGCTAGGGGGCCAGCGCGGCCGAGGTCCGAACGCTTGCTGGGCAGAATCGGGCCAGGCAGCTGCTCTGTCGCTGTCCACCTGCCTTTGCCACCGGGAACCCTAATGAGCACCGTCCTCCCCCAGCCGAGGTGTGGGAATCCGCGGGGCTCCGGGGACAGTCACAGAGAAGTGGGCAGCGTAGAGGACAGGGTCTTGCCGCCCACCCCACCTCCCTGCACCGCTGCCCTGCTCGGGGACCCTCGTCCTGATTCATTCCCAGTGACTTCCGCAGCCCCGTCTGCGTTGCTGCAACTTGAACTTGCATTAAGTTTTAATTAAAGCTGTTTCGCCGGCCTTGCCCTTGGCTAAACGCAGCTGTGGGCACAGGGCACAGAGATATTTAATACTCTGCCTTTCCCCGCCGATGGCGCAGGGTGCCCAAGGGTGTACCCTGCTCTCAGCGATCCGCCAGCTCGCTTAAGTGTGCCCACAGGCCCCGAGCGGGAGGCCGAGCAATAACTATTCATTGCCCTGGGTTAAGTGTGCCCAGGGGCACCCGTAAACTCGGTGCGGTGATGAGCGTGTGCTCCCGGCCAAGGCCGCCCAGGTCCTGCGCTCCTCCGCAGGCCCTAAATATAGCCTTGTGTGGGGGCTGAAGGGGCACCTGGCCATCTCTCCTTTCTCTTGGCACAATCACTGCCCCCTTTCTTAGAGTCTAGCTCCGGGGCTGCCCTGCTTTCCTGCCGCTGTGGCCTGGGGGTGAGGGCCAAGAGGAGTGCTTTCCTGGGGGACCCCAGAAATACCAAGCCCTCTTACCCTCTCCTGAGGCACCTCCTCTGCCCACCAGGTGAAGGTGGCATCCTCGAGAACAAGGCAGCTGCAGGGCTTCCCTAAGTTGTCTCAAGCCTGGCAGTAGGCGGGGGGCTCTGCGGGGCCAGGGAACAGCGGCCCCGGAGCCCGGAGAGGGCTGGGTGACCTGGGACTTCCTCTGCGACGCTGTCCTGTGCCTCAGCCTCCCCGCCCAGCCCAGGGCTGCAGCAAAGGCACCTGGGGGTGAGCGTGGAGAGCCAGGAGGAGCACTGGCCACGGCGGGGGCCGGGGAGACAGAACACGGTGTCACCCGACAGGGCGGCTGCCCTGATGTGACCTGGACTGTCCTGGGCTCAGCACTGTGAGTCCACACGGGGACTCAATCCCAGAAGTCCAGCATGGTGGGCACCTAAGTGCGATGCCCTGGGTGGGCACAGACACCCTTTCTGGCCTTTGTTTCTGGATCTCGTAGAAAGAAAAAGGCGGGAAGAAGTGGGTGAACCCAGAACGGGAGGAGATGGGAGGCCCTGGAGGAAGCCTGGGGACCCCTCCCTCCATCTGTGCCATTCACACCCACCCTTGGCTGTGCCAGCTGTGCCTGATGTCCCAGTTGCCCCCTTGGCCCAGCCCAGGGCAGCAGCTGAGGCGGCGGCCACATTGCCCCAGCTCTGTTGACACTTGAGTCCCAGAACATAAATGATTTTCTTGTCTTAATGAGCAAACACCCAGCTGCCTGGCTTTGGCCAGCCTCCTGCTGGGGTGATTGCCAGCACTGGTGTTCTCAGCACAAACGCGTGCCTGCCACCTTGGCCCCTCTGTTCTGCAGGTCTCCCGGCCTCTGCCCCCGATGTGCGACGGTACACAGGTAGGTGGGGCCGGGGCAACCTTCCGGAAGGTTCTGTCTGGCTCAGCGCTCGGGGATGCTCTGTGGGGGAGGTTTTGATTCCCCTGTCTTGCTGTGGGCAGCGCCAACCTTTCTGGATCTCGGCGGCTGATATTGGAAGCTTCCCGTGGTGGCCTCCAGGCAGTGCCTGAGGACACCTGAGGTCACCGAGCACGGGGTCCAGCCAGGGCAGAGGCTGGGCTGGAAGCCTCTGGAGTCCTCCCGAGTGGAGGTTCTCTAGGCAAAGTCTGCGGTGGCAGGAGCCCTTCCTTTGCAAGGCCACCTGCTTCTGCCTGGCACGGTGTCAGCCCGTCTTTTTTCTGGTCCTAGGTGTTTCCCAGCCTCTGGGAGGAGCTGGGCTGCAGTCCTGGGATGGGGGGCCAGGTCCCTCCCTGTCCCTTTGCCACATCACTGTCACCTTCATTAAAGGCCCTGCTGGCTAATGTCCCACTAAAGAGTGGTGACCAGCACCAGGCCACAGCTGACTGGCGGAGATTCCTGTCAGGGTACAGAGGCACCTGCTCCCCTAGCACCAGGGAGCGGGGTACAGTCTGCAGGGATTCCTGAGTGGCTGCTGCGCTGGCCCCTGGGCCGGCCCGGACTCTCCATGGCCTTGTCATCTTCCTGGGTGTCCCCCCGCCGCCCCGCCAAGTCTCCATTTTCCTTGACTCCTGGCATCAGTGTGCCCTGGGCCATGTGGTTGGTGCATCTGTCCTGTTTCTCCAGACTCCCTGGCTGCTGTCCCTTCAAGGGGAGCTGGTGGCCTCTCTGGAGGATGCCAGTCTGATGGGGTTGTATGTGGACATCAGTGCCACCATGGTCACCATCCAAAGCCCAAGACAAGACCTTCTTCAGGGACAGCAGGTCAGTAGGAAGCAGCAGCCCCTGCCGGGCTGGGCGGAGAGGGGGCTCTGCAGCCTGGCCCCTAGATGAGCGCTCTGCCACCCCTCCGGTGCCAATTCAAATGTCCACCTGTGGCACTGGACAGATTTAGGCAACAGCCTTGAAAATTGGGCCCCATTAGCGTAAAGCGCTCCGCTCGGCAGCTGAGGGGCTCCCGCAATCATGTATTCAACGCGTCCTGATCATGGTGGCAGGAGCGTAATTACCGTCTCTTTAAATAGCCCAAAGTTGCCGTGTAAGAGAAGACGGCTCACATGACATTTGCTCCCAGCTCACTTCTTGCTAAAAATATCCAGCTAAATAATATTTCCTGGTTGCACTGGAGCGATCAACCTGACCTGGGCTCCATAACATTTGGGGGTTTGGCCCAGAGACTAGGTAGGAGGTTGGGGGGAAGGCAAGCAGTCACGGGGACCCTCCTGTCTCCCCAGGTGCTGAACAACTCTGTGCAGCTCCTGCCGCTCTGGCTGGTGAGCAGTCACTGTGCCTATTCCCTAGAGGCTGTGTGCCCACCGGGTAAGGCCCAGGAGCGCCCCGACACCTGCCTCTCTGACTCTGTCGCTCTGTCCCCTCTGGTTCCCTCTCTTCCCTAGACATCTTATCCCCCTCTCTCCTCTTGTTAGCCCACCCTTGGCTTTGAACTCCTGAAATATTTGAGACAAAGAGAAAGTTCAGGAGTGTGTGCGTGTGCCTGGGCTGTGCCGTGTGCCGGGGGTGCTTGAGAAACAGTTATCTCCTGAGGGATGTGGGGCCGGGGGGATTCTTGGGTGGGAGGCCCCACGGGCTCTGAGGACAAAGCCAGAGAGGGTCTGCAGCCTCCATCAGAGCCCCTGCGGGCCTCAGGGTACTGGTGGCAGCGAGACCCCTTGCTTCAGATCACATATGTGATGCTGATCTCCTTCACCTTGGGGTGACCCCATTACCATGCACCTTGTGGAACACAAAAAAGCCAGAAATCCAGAAGCCCACTTCTTCCCTCAGGGATTTGAGATTCTAAAGAATTCAGTATGCAAAGTTAGGTGGATCAAAGTCTTCACCCGGTGTGGGTAGATTGGAGATGACCAACCCTTCACATTTGTGTAGAATTTTATCACAGACCAAGCTTCAGCACCGGGGCTCTGGGGAGTTTTCGGCAACAGGGATGGCCTTGCTGAGTTCACGGACGTCTCCTTCCCTGTACGTGACATTTGAAGTTGCTTTATTTGGAGGCAAATGCTTTCCCTTAGCAACTGCAGAGCTGCCTTAAAATGTCCCCGTGAGAGGGCTGACACAATGGAATTCTTGCTACAGTGTAAACAGCTGATAGGAGCCGTGTTTCCTAAGAGCAGCTTTGGTAACGGACGGGACGCTGAGTTAGGCCCCGAAACTGAAGTCTTACAGAGACATTCCTGTGGGTCCCTAGGGGCAGCTGCTCCTGCATCTGCTTTTCACGGGCCTTCTAGAACAGCAGCATCTCCCAGGTGCTTCTGGATGGTTATTTTTCTTCCCTTCTTCATCCACACTGCTAAATTCAAGCCCCAGCAGTGATCCCCAAACAGCAAGGAATCCACTGTCTCCAACCCCAGTGGTATACAGTGGTGGCCACAGGCCCTTGGTCAGTGCCCTGCCACCTCCTCACCCCTCGCCATGCTGTAGTGTATCTTTGTGTGCATTGAATGTGCTTCCTGTTCCAGTGTCATCCCAGCCAGGCTCGGAGGTCTTAGTCCACATCCCAAGGAAGAGCCTGGGCCTGGTCAAAAGAGGTTTCCACTTTGAGGAAGCCCTGAGCCTCAAATCCCTCCGAGTTCACCAGGTTGGCACCTTCGCAGTGACGGAGAGCAGGGATTTCTTGGTGGTCCGCATACCGGGGGCCGCACTGCTCCAGGTCCAGGTCAGCATGCTGGGTGACATTGCTTCCTGCCCTTTCGGAGCCCTTTTCTTTGGGGAATCAGAGCTATGGAGAGCAGCTCCGTAAGGGTGGCTGGGAAGGGTCTGGGTCACTTATGCAGTGCAGAGGGCTGCACTGGTGCCACGGAGGGCAGCTGCAAGGCACCGAATACACGGAATACACTCGCAGTTAATCCCACGCACTTACAGCCGTGCCAAGAGCCGGGAGGAGCCCCGGGAAAGCAGGCTTTCTACAGCGTGGACCTGAGCCTGGAGTTTGCTGAGTCTGCTACCGCAGTGCTCTGGACGGTGGAGAACTACTTCCGGTGCGTGGGTAAGTGAGGCGCCCTGTGTGACTGTCACACGGGCCCAGGTCCTCTTCCGCTGGCCTTGGAGTCCTTTATTCTGGGATGATGCCGAGTTCCTGGGTTGGAGAGGCCCCACATCCAACCGGGGAGGTTACAGCCGAACCACACTGGCTGGCTTGGGCATAAAGACAAGAGTGACACAGGGACACAGTCCCTGACTCTGGAGTCAAAGTTCCGGGCTAGGGGACAATGTACGTCGTCCTCCTAGGCAGCTGCAGGACCTCGTGAGGCGGTAGGGGCGGGGATGCTTTCTCATGTTCGGTTGCAGGGCTGACGCCTGGAAAGTACAAATTCAGTGGTGTCAGAGTTGGTGGCTTGGAGGGAGCCTAACACCAAGCAAATTGTTTGTTTGGACCTGTCCAGCTCTCTCTCTGCTGGCTTCTGCTCCTCAGGTCGCTTAAGAGACAGGTCAGCCTCCTCAGCAGGAGCCCCAGACAATGAACTCATTTCTGATCCCCCAGACAGCCTCGCTGTCCACACGGGGCCTGTGCTCTGTGCTGGGACCGTGCCTTGAAAGGGGTTTTTGGTGAAAGCCGGGCTACCAGACAACCTGGTATTCACACGTGCAAAACCACCAGGAGCAAAACCCATTCCAGTACAGCACAAGGAAATACACATAATTCACAAATGATGTTGATCACTTTCATCTTCTACTTCCTAACTGTCCGCAATAGAAGACAGACGGGAAGGAGATTTAACTCAGATGTTAATAGCGCAAGAATGCCCCGTTACCAGGATGTGATGTTTCGGTGCTGCATAGAAATGTAATTGTATTCAGAACTATATTTAAAGATTAAAAGGGGGTCTGCCTACCACATCTAGCCCCAAATTTGGAATTAGAAACAAAGAAACAGGCAGGATGGTTGGAGGATGAACTTTGACAGTATGCTAAGAATGGAGATATTTCTTGAAAGTTTTTTTTTTTTTTTTTTTTTTTTTAACACATTTTGGCCGCTTTTATTTGAACAGTTTCCTGCAGCGATGACATTGGTTTTAGGAAGGGAGGGCTGGAACTTCACCCAGCAAACATTCGCAGAGCATTTGCGGTGTGGAGCTCAGGCGGGAACGGAGTCCACACTGGACCGGTGCTTTCCAGCTGTGTCCAGTCTGGAAGGGTCGATGAGAAATGCCCCGAGCATCAGATGGCTTGGGGGGCGATGCCAGCGATGAGGTGATCTTTGCCCTGGGCTTTGAAGAGTGTGGGGTCCTTCCCGGGGAGCTGGGAATGACACACAGAAATAGCAACAGCAGTAAAACATTTTTTTAAAGAAGATTTTTGGGGGCTTCCCTGGAAAGATTTACATGGCAAAGAATGTTCTCTTTCTCATTTTATTAACTGAATCTCAGCAGCAGGAATGAACCTCTGCCTGCCCGGCTCCTGGAGCGGTTTCCCCGCGCTGTGGTTCCTATTATAGCTCCGGGCGAGCGGCTCTCTCCCTGCAGGCCACCCGCCTGCCTGCCTTGCTGGTGGTTTTTATTCTTGAGGCCCTTATCAGACTGCCTTGCCCTGCTGAGCTCTTGCTAAGTGCTTGTTGGTCTGGATTTTCACTAGGAATTTTTACAAAATGTTTTCCACGGAGCGCATTTTTCCTTTTGTAAATACGCGGCTAATGAGTTGCAGCAGGATGAATGGGGTGCCCGAGCACTCTGCGGTCGGGAGGGTTTTTAATCTTCTTCTTCTAAGCCCGCCAAAAAAGCGGTTGCTACCGAGGGACGCATCCTAATGATTTCAGATGGTGGTGGCTAAGAGGAGGAGAGGAAATGCAGTGTCCAGAGAAGAGCAGCCTTCCCGGGTGTGTGTGTGCGTGTGTGTGTGTGTGTGAGGAACAGCCTGTCCCTGCCTCGTAGGAAGCCGGACCAGAGTGGCCAAAGCTGACTTTCCATCAGAAGCCGCTTACATAAAGGCAGTGCTAAAAGTTTTCTGAGTTAATTTTTTAAAATATTTACACTCCTCGCAGGCTGCATCCAACATGTCAAAGGGACTGGAATACGTGAGCTCTAACCCAGAGGTTCTCAGTCAGGAGTGAATAGTGTCCCTCAGGGCACACTTAGCAATGTCCACACATGGTTGGAGGACGATCCTGGCATCTGCTGTGTGGGAGCTGGGCTGCTCCAAGTATCTTACGACACACACGACGCTGCTCCCCAACAAACTGACCTGGCCCCGAAATGTTGGGGGAGCCTGGGCAGGGTCTGCCCTAAGGCGTGGCCAGAGAGGAGTTACTGCCCAGTTCTGTTTGGTTCTGAGGTACGGAACCTCAAACTAGGAACTGACTGAAAGATGAGACCAGTGGTGGCGTTCAGACTGGGATGGGGAGTCGGGCCAGGTGGTTTGGCAGAAACCTACATTTCTGAGATTTCATTTTTTGAAAAAGGTTAACCAGGTGTGGTGATGAAGGCCTGTAATCTCAGCACTCCGGAGGCTGAGGCAGGAGGGTTGCCCTGAGTTCAAGACCAGCCTCGGCTGCATAGTTCAAAGCCAACCTGACCTACACAGGGAGACCTTGTCTCAAAAAACAAAAAGAATGGCAGGACACCCAAAAGTACCCTGCTGTCCCCTCAGTCTCTGCAGGTCCAGGAGAGGCAGCGGAGATGACCACGTCCAACGCACACTGCAGTGCGGCCTCTCTGGGCGTGTACACTCCCCCTCACCCCATGTAGGACTGGCTGCCCCTGGTCCTTCCATCGGGCTTGGGCAGGATTGTGCTTCCTTAGGAGGAAGGCTGACCTCCGCCTCCTTCCTGGAAGGTTCCGGAACAGAGTCAGCTGCCTCAACAGCCTCTCCGAGGACCACTCCCTTCCGGGCGCCCCTAGACCTGGGGACTCCTCCAGCTGGGTCACCATCCTCTGCCTCTTCACAGTCCCCGGACGCAGACCCGGCCACCGGGGCCCAGGCAAGTGCACACTGGGCCCTCTGCCCGGTGTCCTCCCCAAGGGTCGAGTGCTGTGGGCCTGGGTGGGCCCAGCGGGCGCGAAGCCTTCTCCCAAGGGGAGCCCTGCCCTTATCTCCAGCCAGGTCACTTTCTCAAATTCACAATGCTCCCCGGAGAAAGCCAGCCCCACCCAGGGCTCCGCTGAGGGCAAGCTCACTGCCCTCCTGGGGCTTGAGACAGAAAAAGAGCAGCAGCTGTGGGGGAGGGAAACTGAGGCACACCCCAAAAGCTCGGGGCGAGAGCACGAGCTGAGGTGGCAGCTCCCGCTGGATAAGACCTGGAGATCTTAGGCAGGCAGCCAGAGCCCGTGCCTTTATTTCTGATGTGATTTTCTATATTGCTGCTCCGTACCTGCAGCCGGAGCCCAGGCCGGTCCTGCACACGGCCAAGCCTGCAGGAGGAAGCTGGGTGTCTGCTGCTGGCCTTCCCACCAGAGCCTCTCAGGATGGATGTTGCCCCCAGGCTCCCCCGGGGGAAACGGGGCCACCTCGCACACTGTCCTCAGGGCTGCCGGGAGCTGCCCAGGCTGGCCCAGAGCCTTCACAGCCCGTCTCGCCAGCTTCCACTGCCCCAGCCACACATCCCTTCTTGGAGGCCGCCTCTCCTCTGGCACCCTTCTGGAAGTCTGACCCATCCGAAGTGTCCCTGGGCTCAGAATCACTTGTCACACTAACTGAAGGTCCCCAGCAGGACCCTGTCCACTCTCCAGGAAGTCCTCCCCTCCCAGCAGGGGTGGATGTGGCTGTCATCGAGCCCACACAGGCCGGCAAGGAGTTCCAGCCATTGACGAGGCCCTGGGTGACCAGGCTGACTGATGAGGCATTGGGGTCCCATCACCCTCATAGAACACCCCAGGAGACATCTTCCATGAGAGAGTCCGAGGGGCCACCCGAGAGTGACCGTGACTTGTCTGGAGGGGTGTCCAGACTGGAAGGGTCATCCTCCAAATTGAGTCAGGGGGTGGCGGGGCCGAGACCCACCATCTTGCCAGGGACAGATGCCGTAGTGACCACTGAAGGGAAGTGGCAGCCAGACACCAGCAGCCGCCTGGGGACCTCAGGCCCTGAGCAGCCTGGGGGGCCCAGGGTGGGCCCTTCAGCCGCCCTGACAGGTCTTCCAGAGAATTCCATGGCCTCCACCTCCAAGAGACCTGAAACCCAGTCTGTGGGAGCCTCAGACAGTGCCCCAGATCTAGGGTCAGCTCCTGAGGGGACTGTGGGCTGGCACGGCTGGGGGACACCCACACCTGGCCCTCTACCCCTGAGGAGCCTGAGCCCGGCCAAGCTTAGAAACCCCTTCCCAACTGGTCACAGGGCCTTGCCACCACAGGACCCCCCAGAGGCCATGTTGGCCGCCAGCCCTGAGAATCCCGGGACTCCTGAGCTTCCGCCCTCTGTGGAGGGGGCTCTCTGAGAGGCCTCTGTGCTGTCCTCTGTGGAGACACCGGGGTGAGCCCTGGGAGTGCCCAGGGAGGAGCAGTGCTGTGGGGTGGGCTGCAGAGGGAGAGGACGGGATCTGAGGTCTTCAGTGCGGAGCCCTGACCCAGCGCAGGCTCAGGACCATGCTGGGGTTACTGCTGCCACTCGGTGATGCAGTCACAGCCACTGCAGAGCTAGAGGGGGGCATCGGCCATCTCCAGGATGGGGTTCAGCAGGGCGGGGGCAACTCCCTAGTGTGTGGTCTACTCCCTGGCACTTCAGGGGGCCCAGATCCCAGGTCTCTAGCCGACCCCGGGGGGAGGGGGAGAGACTGGGGTGTGTGCAGATCACCACTCCCTTTCCTGACCCACACTTCCCCCTGTTTCCACGGCAGCAGCTGGTACCCTGATGGCTTGGACAGCACTGTGACATCCTCCGGTGAACCAGTGCTCACAAGCCCCCAGCCCAGAAGCCCAGCTGTGGCTGGGTCACCCAGCTCGCTGGGAGCTTCCCTGAAGGGGCGGCACCCCCCCGCCCGCTCCGGCTCAGCCAAGGCTGTGAGTGGGATTTGAAACACAGCCAAGGAGAGAGAGCGGAGGCCGTGGGCAACGCCCGCTGGACGGGGCTAAATAAATAAATAAATAATCAGGCTTGTCGCGGCTGATAAACGGTCCCTACCTCCAAGAGGACTTCTCCCCTGCGCCCCTCCTCCTCCTTCTCCGGGCAGATCCGTCCCAGGAAAAGCTTAATAGCCCCATTTAAGGCTTTGCCTTTTCACCACGGAATTGAGCTGCCCCTGCCATTACGAGGTTTTCAGCTTCTCTCTGAAATCAAATTACTGACTCCATTTAATTTTTTAAAAGCTCAGATGATTTCCTTTCTTGAATCCGAGCCGTGACTCCGAGCCACCCCCATCCCCACCTCCCCCTGGGCGGGTCCCCTGTGGGCAGCCGCTGCCCAGGGATAGCAGCCCTCACCAGGGAAAGCCTGACACCTAGAGGGGAAGACGGGCCTCTGGGTGACCCCCCCAGACATCTGGCGGGGTGTCTTGGCCTCTCCTGAAGCTGTGTCCTCCCCTGAGCCCAGGGGTCCAGGGCTAGAAGCCCTTCAAATGCTGGTGGGTGCAATGTTAGAGCCCCGCCCAGTGCAGTGGGCTCTTGTTGGCTCCCCAGGACCCTGGCCCTTGAGAGATGTTTATGGGGTGCTTCCTGGGGGCCAGGTGTTGTTCCAGCTCTGGGGAGGCCGTGAGGATGGAGAAAATCCTCTGTGTGGAAGGAACTGTGTGTGTGTGTGCACGCACGTGTGTGTAGGGAGCTGGACCCCTGTCACAAACGTGGACAATTCAGATAACCAGACTCACTCTGAAGAGAACCAAGTTAGGGGCTCAGGAAAGGGGTGGGTTGCAGCTGCTTCTGGTGGGAAGGTTCGGGTGACCCAGAGAGGGACTCAGAGCACAGTGGGGAGGGAAGGTCACGGAAGCTCAAGGGCCTCGAGGAGCTGGAGGGACAGAAAGAAGGCCAGCAGCGTGGCGCGTGTGGGCAGGGTGGTGTGGGGAACACGAGCCTGAAGGCGGAGGGGCATCACACAGCTGGCTGAGGCTGCAGGGATCCAGTGGCCAGGGCTGGAGCTGTGGCTGGTTCAGGGCCCATCGGCCCCACTGGAAGGAAAGGTGACCATCGAGGTCCCCTCTTTGCAGGCTGCACCACTGTCCTCCAGCTGCAGCTTCTGTCTCGGCCCTGGCCGTAGCGTCCCTGGCAGGAATTGCTCTCTGTGTCCCTCTGAACGTCTGCTCCTGAATTCGTCCCTCGTCTTCTTCACCCTACAGGGGCCACCCACCCCGCTTCTCAGCATCCACACACACACACACACACACACACACACACCTTTACCAAGCCCCCCCCCCCCATTTAACCATTGCCTGCCCTTGGAGATGAGCAAAGGGTACAGGGTTAACAGAACCACCAGGCTCTGCCTGGCAGAAACGGCCCCTGGCCCCGCAGGCAGGCAGGCAGGCAGGCGGGTGGCAATTGCAGGACTGGGAGGGTCCAAGCATGAACCGCTCGGGCGCTGTTCCCAGCCCTGCCCCTCAGGCAGCGGGCTCAGACCTGGTTACTTTCTACTAAATCCTCCCGAAAGCAGTGTCCTGGCTCCAGATCCCCCAGGGCCTGGGTGGCACCTGTGCCTGACCCTGGGGCCGTGCACGACTGTGCATGGGTTCTGTCCTGGTTTGGGGGCCGTCTAGCTTTCCCTGTTGAGATGTCCCAGGTCTTGCTGTTGTTTTTTTATGACCAATGGCTCCGTGAATGGTGACGTGTTGGCAGGGGTGGCTCTTCTTGGACTCGGACAGTGTGGGGATGGGTGGACATCGCCAGCCCTCCCGCGCCTCAGTGGCTTGGATTCTCACCCCACCCCACCTCCCCAAGCTGTGACCGTCCACAATGGAGTTCGCATCACAACATGCTTTTTTAGCCACAGCTGCAAGTCTCTGTTGGGTATTTGAATATTACTTACCCTGGAATGGTAGTGATCAACTCAGTAATTCTCCAAATTACTGTGTAACCAGAGAGGCAGCGTGGGGGAAGAGCTGGGTTCTGGGCATCAGGAGGCCAAATTTGCCCCACGGGTGCCGCACGATCTTGAATACATCCGTTCGCTTTCTGGATCCAGCGCTGGGCTACCAGGGAGTGGGAGCTTGGGAACCTCGGCCCTCAGGTTGCAGGCAGGGACAACGTGGACCACATGGACACAGCTGGTTCTCACGGAGCAGCCCACAGCCCACCCTGTCTCCCATCCTCCCTTGTTCGCTTCCTTGTTCTCCTGAAGCCGGGCCCACACTCCACACCCCAGATCTCAAAGCCCTCGGCACAGTGCTTTTCACGGGGGGTTCCTCCCAACATCGTCCGCTTCCCTGGGAGCTTGTTAAAAATGCATTGCGTCTTTTGTTTGTGGACAGGTTCTCATTATGTAGTTCAGGTTGGCCTTGAATTTGCAGTGACCCTCCTGCTTCAGCCTCCCTGACGGTAGGATTAAAGGTGTGTACCCCACACACAGCAAAATGCCCATTCTTGAGCTGGGGAGGTAGCTCAGTGGTAGAGCGCCTGCCTAGCCCCTCTGAGGCCGCTGCCAAAGAAATGCAAATTCACGCTAGACCCAATAATTTAGTAGAGTGGAGCCTAGGAATGTGCATTTTAACAAGTGATGCCCCACTGTATGTGTTGAGAACCATCAACTGGGAGGGTGGGACCAGGCAGCCCCGAAGTAGGACTCCTCTGCCTCCTTAGTAAGGACCATACTTGACCTTACTATTCATCTCCCAAGGACTTTCCGCGTCCACTGCATCACCCTTAGTACCATGTCTTTGAGGAAGAAAGGGATCGTTCTGCCCATTTTACAGATGAGGAGACTGAGGCTTGGGCTCTGGCTAAGATTGCACACAGCAAGGGCTTTCTGCTCTGCTGGACACCTGGGGGTTCTGGGCCTTCTTAGACCACTGGGATACATGCACATCCTCTGGCCAGAGACAAAATTCTCCCTTCCAGCTTTCTCTCCCCAATTTCCAGTTGCAATCACAGCAGAGTATCCAGGAAACATAAATTTTGCCCGGCATTTGAGTAAGAGCTCTGAAAGGAGTTACACATCAGGGAGGTGGGACTTTATTTCTCAATGAAATAGCCTTTTTATGGCCGGAATAAAAGTGCCAGGGGGAGCCCCATGCCAGGAAGTGGCAAGTGCATTTGACAAACTCCTCCAGCCGGGCTGGGGCCGCACGGGAGGCAGCAGCCCCCCGTTTCCAGAGGCGGACGCGCCTGCAGGTTGGAGCCCTGAAGACCCGGAGGTGGGGCCTCGCCAGCCGAGCCCGGTCGGCAGGTGCCCGGAGCGGAGCCGCAGAGCAGAGCGCGGGCAGCAGGGGGCAGCAGAGCACCCCAGAGACCGTTCCGGCCCCGCGGAGGGCGCCGTGGGGGCGCGGGGGTCTCTGAGGCACCTCGCTCACAGGAAGCCGCAGCGACCCCTTCCCAGGACCTCTTCCCCTCGCTTAGTTCGTCCACTCCAGCCCCTTCACAGCAGGGTCATCTGCTGACCCATCCAGGTCACACTGGGGTGCGCCTGGGGTGGGGCCTTCTGCACCCCTTGCCCTCCCTCGGAGGATTTGCCCAAGCTGCAGCTTTGCTCTGGACCTTGTGCACCCCTCGGCACCCTTCTGAGGCCATTCGGGCGCTCTCCGTGCGCGCGTGTGGGTGGGGGCCTTGCAGGGTGAGAGGTGGTGGCGTGCGTGGTCACTGGGGGCAGAAGAAAAGCTGAAGGACAAAGGGAACCCGGGGGCCCTCCGGTTTGAGGGTGCACGTGATTGGCAGGTTTACGGCCTCGGGAAGGTGCGTGGTAGTCTGCACAATCAAGTGATTTTTAAAAATAATCTCCCTGCTTAAGTCGTACACGCTGCTAATTGCATTTTAATAAGTCTCTTAAAATCTTGCCATATTTTTTAATATCCTAATATTAGGTAAGTGATTGCGGGGGACACTGGAGGGCATGGGGAGTTTATATAACAGAGGGAGGTGGCAATGAAGCCGGGGTGGGGGCAGCCACCGAGAGGCGGACGGGGTGTCTGTGTGACGTGGGGGTGTGAGTGTGTGTCCACGCGGGACTGTGCACATGCTCACCAACAGGGAGCCGTTTGACACCTCTGGCTGGGTCTGGCAGCTGGGAGGGAGAGAGGCAGGAAGGGCAGGCATCTCCCCTCTTTCTTTCTCTGGTTCCAAAGTGGACGTCTGAGCCCTGGCACCTCCACCCAGCTTGTCCCTGGGATTTGACCAAGACCATGCAGGAAGCGGGCAGCTGAGGGACAGCCCAGCTCCTGGCTCCGGAGCAGAGGAAGAGCCACCTTTCTCCTGCCCCTTCTCCCAGCCCAGGGGCCCTGCGTCCTTGCAGCGGGCCCTGCCATGCGAGCCTCACGCTGCCCGCTAACATGGCAGAGGCTTCGCCCTGACTGCATGTTGGGCATCTTGCTGGGTGAGTGTTCCGGGACCCTTGGGTGAGAAGGACCCAGGTGGCAGGCCTGGGATTCGAACCCACAGCCGCTCCTGTGGGTATCGAGGAAGGCTCTGAGTCACCATGGCCCGGAAGCTGAACAGAGGCTCCCACACTTCCCTCCATGCCAACTGTCCAGGGTCGGTGAGGACCACGTAGGAACCTCAGGAAAGGCTGGCAGAGGCGGGGTGAGGACGTCGCATCGGGTGGCTGTGGACCTGTCCGTGATCCTGGGCAGGGTCCTAAAGGCAAGGTCAGTACCGGCCTCCAGGGCTCCGAGGCAGGGCAGGGGCGTGGACACCGGGTTGTCAGGCCAGGCACGTTAGCCACACTGCGGGCATCCGGAGGCCCCGAGGCCCAGGCCTGGCCTTCCTCCTGCCACTCCTCCTCCTCCTCCTCCTCCTCCTCCTCCTCCTCCTCCTCCTCCTCGCCCCCCCCCCCCCCCCCGGGTGGGAGGCATATGCTGTGCGAACTTCTGAACAGGAAGTCAGCGTCCAGGTCGTCCGAGGCTCTTTTCATGTGGTTTCTTTAATCCGCCGGCTGGGTTTCAGAAGCGTTTTACAGTTTCATTTTTACAAAGTGACGCTCCTTTTAATGTTGGCGTTTGCAGGAGGCGGGGGGAGAGCGGCTTCAGTCAAAACATGTGTGTTTTACATCAACCAGCTGCAGGCCTCGCAGCCCGGGGAGGGGACAGGCAATGTGGCCTCCAGGCACGGCGGCAGCGGGCCGCGGTGTGGGAGCGGATGCATCCACTTGGCCTCTCTCCCTGGCTGCTGGGACCCTCACCCTCGGAATGCACCACCGCTGTGGGGCCAGGGCACCCCGAGTCCAGGCCCCTTCATGCCTGGGCTCTCCCTGGGGAGCTGGTCTCTGCCCAGATACCAGCAGGCCACTGCCCCCGCTTTAGACCTGGGCCGTATCCTTTGTCTGACCACTTTTCCCCTTACAGAGACAGTGCCTAAGCAAAAATATCTACAATACTGTGGGTCTCATATACTAGCTACACCGACCTGATTTCATGTACAGTAAAAATCTATAATTGCGGGAAAACCCAACTAGAATCATCCTTCCTATAACACTACATTGATGCATCCTCCGCCCTTAGCTAGATGTGGCGGTGCATGCCTATGAGCCTAGAATTCTAGGAGGCTGAGACAGGAGGATTGCAAGTTTGAGCCCAGCCTGGGTAAATTAGCAAGATCCTGTCTTAAGGTTAAACAAATAAAAGGCACAGGGGATACAGCCCAGTGTTAGGGAAAAACCAGGAGAGGAAGGTCACCGGGATGGTCACGGGGCTGGTGAGATCCCTGCCCGCGGGTTTGTCTGAAAGGCCACTGTCCTCCCACTGCCCGAGAGGACAGGGACCACGTTCCTTGGCGGTGGCCTCAGTCAGACCTGGTCCAGCACCTGGCGGTGCTGCCCTGAGTGCAGGACCTCGGTGAGGTTTCGCCAAGCTGTGCTGGGAGCCTCAGTCCCCCTGCTGTGGAATGAGCCCATGGTGCTGGCCTGGAGGCAGGGATGAGGGAGCCAGAGAGCGGCCGGGAAGAGCCTGCATCTGCCACCCGTCGCGGGGAGCCCTGGCCCTGGTTCTGATGCATCTGACCCTCCTGCCAGGGCCCTGGCACCTGAGCTCCCTCCTCCGTGGGAGACAGCAAGTGGTCTGCAGAGGGAGGGTCTGGGGTGAGGAGCCTGTCCCAGAGGGGTCACAGACCCCGTGCCCCGTGCTGAGGGCCCAGGCCACCAGCACCCTGCAGCTGGGTTGTGGAGGGTTGGGGTTCAGAGCCCGCACGTCTGGTAAGGCACAGTCCTCACCCTGCTGCCCCCACTCTGCGCTGCCTCTGTGGCTTCCACTGGCCGATGGCCAGGGTCACCAGAGTACCGCTCTGAGCCATAGAGATCAGTGGCTTTGCCTCCTGCCCTCAGCGATGTCAGGCCAGAGCCCAGGGGGACAGGTGCCAGGGTGGGCACTATTCCAAAAGTTGGTTCCTTTCCTTGGGATCCTGGGTGTGCTTAGGAGACCCAAATAGTGGTGATGATGATGGTGATGGTGGTGATGGTGGTGCTGGTGATGATGCTGGCTTGCAGGACCGAGCCTTAAGTTCCAGGCACAGCACTGAGCACCTTACACCCACTATTCCTTTTCATCTGCGCCATGCCGCAGGCAGGAGGGCATTCAGGCTGCTGCCCATGTGTAGTGGGTGCTCCGACCGATTACAGCAGCCCACTGGCCCCCTGCGATCCCACTGTCCGGGTAAGGCGCCACCGTGGCAGACGGGGAGCCGCCGGGCAGCAGCTCTTTGGATTCTGCGCATCACACCTGCCCCGCCCACGGGTGGCCCTCGGGAAGGGCAGACTCCAGGTCACAGTTGCTCCACTGACCTCCAGCCTCCTGGGGGAGACCTGCCGGCCCGGGCCTTCTGCCCCAGGGCAGCGAGGAGCGGGTGCTGGCTGGCTGCGGCTGCTCAGGGCCCAGGGAGCAGACAGTCACAGGCAGGCCACGCGGGCTGCTTTTATCTCCCCCTTCAAAGAGGCGCAAACAGACCCCGTCCCCGGGCCAGGTGGCGGCAGCTCCCTCCTCGTGGCTTCAGCCTTCGAGCCCCCTTCTCCTGCTGCCTGGAAGTCCAGCAGCACCTTGTCCTGGACCTGAGCCCTGGCACCCGAGGACCTGACTCCTGGCCATGCAGGTGACTCTGAGCAGGGCCCGGGGCACTCACGAGGAGGCAGGAAAAGGGAAGGCTGGCTGCCACGCAGGGCACAGGGGCTGAGACCTTTCAGGTTCATGCCCCGCCTGGGTCAGCGGGGGCCGGGGGCTTCCACGCCTGCGGCCACTGAGTGCTGAGTGCAGGCTGCTCTGAGCGGACCCGTCCCCTGTGGGTAGCGGTGGGAACAAAAGAACATACGACAGTTCATTTGTCACTTTGCATGAATTACAGGCTGAAATGATAGCATTTTTGTGCTATTGGATGAAAAAGTCTGCTAATAAAATTAATTTGATATGGCCCTTTCTACTCTCTCAAATTTAGACACAAGGACATTTGTTTTGCTTTATTTGTTTTTGGTTTTTAAGGTAGGGTCTTGCTATGTAGTGTAGTCTGGCCTTGAACTCAGAAATCCTCCTGCCTCAGCCTACTGAAAGCTGGGATTATAGGCATGTGCCACCAACTCAGTTTACAAGGACATTTAAAGTGACACACCCAGCTAACTTGGGATCTGTTGGTCACTCTGTCCCACATGACATTTCTGTTTTGCGGATGAGCAGCCTGAAGCTCAGGGGTGTTAGTACCTGGCACCAGGGGTGCTCAGTGAAAATCTTCGGAATGAGGGATTGAGGGAACAGATCTCCTGGTGTCGGCTGCTGGGGAGACCCCAAGAACCATGTCTGGGTTCCTGCTACCCTGGGACCACCCATGGCCGCCTCAGAGGCGCCAGCCTCCTGGGAGACCCAGGCTTCGGAACAGCAGAGGCGGAGGGTGCTGACCCCAGGTCTGGGTTTCGTTACTTACCAGTTGTGTGACTGTGGGTCTGTGACTTAGTCTCTTCCTGCCTCAGTGTTCTCATCTGTAAAATGAAAGTGGTGATGGTGACTGACATTAAGGCAGCTCCTTCACAGGTCTGAGGATGGAAGGGTGGTTAGCTCCTGGGTAAGTACGGCCTGCTGACAGCTGGTGACTTTGTGGGACAGGTGCTCTAGAGCCTGTGTCACCCAGCCCAGGAAGCCAGTGTCCTGCACGGGGGAACTCCCCTCACAGCTGATCGGGGTCACTGCACCCAGGGGCCCCGTGACGGGAACAGAAGGAGCTGGGGCCACCGGCCAGGTGCCCGGGCTGCTGCCCTCTGGCCTCTACCCGTCCGCTTCCCTCCCGTCTTACCTGCTCTTTGTGCCAGGCTCCCTCCCTGCCCAGCTCTGCCCTTGAGGCCTTTGGCCCCTAGACAGGGCTTTGGGACCTTCTTGGAGGAGATTACCCCGGGGCCGAGTGTGGCTCAGTGGCAGAGCATAGAGAAACCCTGGGTTCTGCACCCCAAGCTCCTGCCAGTCAGTGCAGGACTGTAACTCACCTGGGGGGCCAGCAAGATGCTCAGCACACTCCGGGCGAGCCAAGCCCCTTGGGTCCTCCTGGGTCAGACCTGCTGAAGGCAGGGGGAGGTGGCAGGAGCTGCTTCCAAGCTGGGGGTGGGGGGAGCGCCCAGAGATGGTAGCAGGAAGTGGATGATTAAAACCAAACAGCGCCGATGGGAACCAGATGGGGTTAGGGTGGGGCCCTCACAGGGGGAGACACTTCCCTTTCCCTGCGAGCCGTGGTGAGGAGCCTTCCCCACCTCCACCTCTGGCTGAGTGCAGCAACAGGGGGTTTGTGGCCCTCAGTCCCCGAAAGATACCAGAGTCCCCCCAGGGAGGTGATTAGCCTAATAGACTAGGCAGGGGACTAGGGAGGAGCCACCTGGGTGCCAGGTGGGGGGGCAGTCCCTAGCCCAAGCCACCCCTTCTCCTGCCAGCCTGTAGCTCTTGGGGGATCACGGTCCCAAGTTCTAGCTGCTTCCTCCAGGAAGCTCTCTTGGATTCTCGGATCAGGTCAGGTACTTTCTCTGGCTTCCAGAGCTGCCAGGTTTTGTCCACCCTCTCCGCTGCCCTCACAGACACCCCCACGGGCCCCTCCTTCCCTGCTCATGGCGATTCTGTGAGTTTGGTGTAAGTTTTCCAAATCTTGTGTGTTAAAACAGATGTAACATACCAGGTATGATGGCCCGGGCTGAGGAGTACAAGAGTGAGCCCATCATGGGCAATTCATCAGTTCAGCAAGACCTGTCTGGTTTTGTTTTTTGTTTGTTTTTTGTGCCGGGAATTGAACTCAGGACTTCATGCTTGCCAGGCAGCCACAGTGCTGCTGGGTCCCCAGCCCCAAGACTCTGTCTTAAAATAAAAAAAATAATGTGGCTTGGTATGAGGCTTTTGGCTTAATACCAGTATGTGATAAACAGATAGATGATAGGTAGGTAGATAGATAGATAGATTATAGATAGCAATAGCTGGTATGGGGGTGCCTGCCTGGAATCCCAGCACTGGGGACCCAGAGGCAGGAAAATCATGCGTTCGAGTCCAGCCTAAGCTACATAGCATGACCCAGTCTTTAAATAAATAAATAAGTTAAATAGACATGACATAAAAATGTCCACCCTGACCGTTTTTGTGTGCAGTTCGGTGGCAGCGAGTCCACTCCCCCTGCAGGCAGTGAGTGTGCGCTCCGCCCTGCTGTC